GAAGAAATGCCAAAGTCACCACTGCAGCTGGCTTTCTCCCACAAGTGCCACCTCCTGGCCAGAAGTCAACAACATTACCCACGGCATTCTCCAAAGCATGCCTCAGCTTTGGGGAAAGCCCAATCCCAGAACCTAGCACTTTCCAAGACATTCTGGCTAATCAGAATGCCATGAGCCAGTGTAGGTTCCTACACAGGACTGCCACAGCTGGCAACTAAGAAACTTGCCACACCAAGGATACATGCAACCAGAGAAACCCTGCAGTGCCTACGTCAGCCCCCTGGAACCTCAAATAAGAAGAAATCAACTAGCCAAATTAGAAGGAATCAGAAAAACAATTCTAAAAATACACAAAAAAACAGTTCTCCAACACCACCAAAAGACCACACTAACTCTTCAGCAACAAACCCTAAACAAAATGAAATACCTGAAATTCCAGACATAGAATTCAAATGGTAGATTATAAAACTGATCAATGAGAAAACTAAAAACCACCATGAAGAAAAAAAAAAACTATTAAGGACATGAATGAAAAATTCTCCAAGCTGAAATTCTGGAGAAGAAAAAAATCATTTAGGGAAGTACAAAATACAGTAGGACGTTCGTTCTAAAAGCAGAATAGAATAAGCAGAAGAAAGGATCTCAGAGCTTGAGGACAAGGCTTTTGAATTAATCTAATAGATAACAATAAAAGAAAAAATAATCAAAAAGCAGAAGAAAGTCTCCAAGAAATGTGGGATTATATAAAAGATCCACACCTAAGATTCATAAATATACCTGAGAAAGAAGAGAAAGCAACAGGTTTGGAAAACCTATTTGAGGGAATAATTAAGGAAAATTGCATAGCCTTGCCAGAGATTTAAACAACCAGATACAAGAAGCTGAACGAACTGCCAGAAGATTCACTGCAAAAATGTCATTCCCCAAGGCATATAATCATCTGGCTATGCAAAGTTAATGCGAAGAAAAGAATTTTAAGACCAGTGAGACAAAAGGTAAACATACCAGACTAACAGTAAACTTCTCAGAAGAAACCCTAGAAGCCAGAAGGGATCGGGGCCCGACCTTCAGTCTCTTCAAACAGAATAACAGGATTTTGTATCCCACAAAACTAAGTTTCATAAATTATGGAGACATGAAGTCTTTTTCAGACAAGCAAATGCTTAGGGAATTTATCACCATTAGACCAGACCATTAAGATATACTCAAAGAGTTCTAAATACTAAAATAAAAGGTCAGAATATGCCAGTAGAAAAACACCAGAAATCATAAAGTGCACATGATTTATGGAACACAAATACAATAGAAAAATAAACAAAAGCAAGCAGATAACAACCAGTATGATGAATGAAATACTATCTTATATAGCATAATTAATTCTGAACCTAAATGGTCTCGATGCCCCACTAAAAAGATAGAGATTGGCAGAATGCATATTTTAAAAAACAACTTCAATATCTGCTGTCTCCAAGAGACCCACTCCACACACAAAGACTCCTATAGACTCAGGGTAAAGGAGCGGAGAAAAATATTTCATGCAAATGAAAACCAAAAATGAGCAGGAGTAGTCATTCTCATATCAGATAAGAAAGATTTTAAATCAATTACAATGAAAAAAGACAAAGATGGGTATTATGATAAAGGGATTGACTCAATAAAAAAATATAACAATTTTAAATATATGTACTATATATAATATACATAAAACACTAGAGCACTTAACTTTATAAAACAAATTATACTAGACTTAAAATTAGAGATAGATAGCAATACAATAATAGTGGGAGGCTTCAACACTTCATTGACAGCAATAGATAGATCATCAAGGCAGAAAGTCAACAAAGAACAATTGAAGCTGAACTGGACCCTAGAGCAAATGAAACTAACAAACATCTACAGAACATTCCATTCCAAAGCTACAGAATATATATTTTTCTCATCAGTACAGGGAACATTATTCAGGACAGACCATATGCTAGGCCACAAATCAAGTCTCAATACATTAAAAAAAATCAAAATCATATCAGTCACCTTCTCAGACCATAGTGGAATAAAACTAGAAATTAACTCCAAGAACTCACAAAACCAAACAAAAACATGAAAGTTAACCAATCTGCTCCTGAATGATCCCTGGGTCAACAATAAAATCAAGATGGAAACTTTAAAATTCCTCAAAACAAATGACAACAATAAAACAAGTCATCAAAACCGCTGGGACACAGCCAAAGCTGTGTTCAGAGGAAAACTTATAGTGCCTAAGGCCTACACCAATAAGACTGAAAGACTGCATACTGAGAACCTAACATCACACCTCAAGGAACTAAAAAACAGGAGCCAAATGCAAAACTAGGAAAATAAAAGAAATAGCAAAAATTAGAGCAGAACTAAATGAAATTGAAATTTAAAAACACAATACAAAGAATCAATGAAACAAAAAGTTTGTTCTTTGAAAAGGTCAACAAAACTGATAGACTGCTAACTAAATTTCCTCCACAGATGTGAAGGGAACATTTACACACTAGTGGTGGGAGTGTAAATTACTACAACCTCTATGGAATTGGTACAGAAATTGCTCAAAGAACTGAAAGTAGATCTACCATTGGATCTAGCAACCCTACTGCTAAGTATGTACCCAAAGAAACAGAGATCATTATATAAAAAATACACCTGTTCTTGCATGTTCATCATAAGACAATTCACAATTGTAATGATGTGGAATCAAAATAAATGCCCATCAACTGATCAGAGGGTAATGGAAATGCAGTATATATGCAATAGAATACTATTCACCTATCAAAAAGAATGAAATAACATATTTGCAACAATTTACATCCTAAGAGAACACAGAAAAACAAAATCAAGCACTGCGTGTTCTCACTTATAAGAGGGAACTAAATGCTCTTCAAAGACATAGAGAATGATATAATGGACAATGGAAACTCAGAAGGTAGAGGAAGGAAGCCGTGGAGAGACGAAAAATTACCTATTGAGTACAATGTGCACAGGTGGGGGTGGTAAGCATGTAAGGCCTACATCAAAAACGATTTGTATTCCCTAAAGCTATTGAAATAATATGTCATATACATATGTGTGTGTGTGTGTGTATGATGAAAAATACTACATCTTGAAGCAAAAACAAGATGACATTTTGAAAGGAGAAAACAAAAAAGAACTCTTGGAAATAAAATGATGGCAGAAATCACAACAACTATTAAATTCAAAAACTATTAAACTTGAGTATCATATTGAATAAGGGTTGAAAGAAAAGCAAAATAAGGTGAGTGGATAAACTGGCACATCCATACAATGGAATATCATTCGGCACTTAAAAAGAAATTATCAAGTCATGAAAAAACATGGAGGAACCTTAAATTACTAAGTGAAAGGAGCAAATCTGAAAAGGTAACATATTGTATAAATCCACTATATGACATTCTGGAAAAGGCAAAACTATGGAGACAGTAAAAACATCAGGGGTTCCCAGAGGATGAAGGGAAGGAGAAATTAACAGGTGGAGAACAGAGAATATTTAGGGAAGTGATATTATAGGAAAACATAATGGTCAAATATATGTTATTAGGCATTTGTCAAAATTCACAGAACATACAACATCAAAAGTGAATCCCAATGTAAACTATACACTTTGGGTGACAATGATGTATCCACGTTAAGTTCATCAACTGTAGCAAATATTAATAGAAAAGGGTCTATATGTACAGGGGCAAGATGTATATAGGAACTCTGTACTTTCTGCTCAATTTTGCTGTGAACGTAAAACTGATTTGAAAAATAAAGTCTATAAGTTAAGCAGAAAGTGAGGTTAGAAAATAAAACAAGCTGGGCTTGGTGGCTCAGCCTGTAATCCAGCGCTCTGGGAGGCTGAGGTGAGTGGATTGCCTGAGCCCACGGGTTCAAGACCCGCCTGGGCAACTTGGTGAGACCTCATCTCTACAATAAATCAAAAAATCAGCCGGGAGTGGTAGCACATGCCTGTAATTCCGGCTACTCGGAAGGCTGAGGCGGAAGGATCACCGGAGCCCAGCAGGGCGAGGCTGCTGTGGCCGGGAGCGGCCACTGCACTCCAGTCTGGGCGACAGAGTGAGACTCCAATTCAAATAAATAAACAAATAAATAAATAAATAAAAATAAAACAAAGAGACAAAAAAAGGGGGTGAGAGAGTTTTGTAGAAAGGGAAGTTTAACATTAAATTAGTAGGAATTCCAAAAAGAGAAAACTTGTTAAAATACATACATTTTTAAATCAAGAAGAATTCCAATAATAAAAGAATATGTGCTTCCAGACTGAAAAACCCCACTCAACAAAATTGAAGACAAATATCTACAAGCTTTTGCTTTAAAAAAAAATATTAAGAGGAAATTTATATAACTGAGGAATACTTTGGAGAGAATCAGTAATAGAAATCTAAGCAAACAACAATTGTCTCTAGGGGAAAAAAACAGTTGAGAAAAGAAATGCTGTCAACAGCACTTAAGTGGTCATATAACATATATGGTAAAAGGGGATCTAAACAAAATTACAACATAATTATATTAAGATGAAAGAAGAGGGTGGACAAAAAGTATGCACATTATGTGGGTACAAGACGAAAGAAGGGCAGAAATTTTCATTCACTACTATATCCAGTGTACAGAATCATACATATGTTATGAACTAGTGATAGAATAAACATTAAATGAATGAATGAATGAATCACTTGAAGAAAATATCAAAAGAATCAGTGAAGAATTGAGAGTAGTTGCTTCTGAGGAGCAAGAAACGGGGAGACTGAGAGTGAAGGTGGAGTGCGGGGAACTGCTGATTTATATACCAACCCTTATAGAAATGGACTCTTTATACCAAGTGCATGTTTAACTTTGATAAATATTTTAACTTATTTTTTAAAGAGAGAAAAGTAATCAGTGCTATTTAAGTTCAAATACTCAAATACCACTTTCAAAATTCCTGCTTTTCAGTTGGACGCTGAGTGGTTCTTCAGATCATGTCTGGTGGCTCCATGGATTATAACAGAGAATATGGCGGTCCAAAGGAAATAGACCCCAATGGTGTCATCGAGAGCTACTGGAATGAGATTGTTGGTAACTTTGATGATATGAATTTAAAGAGTCTCTTCTTTGGGGCATCTATGCCTCAAAGGTTTTGAGAAACCTTCAGCTATTCAGCAGAGAGCTATTATTCCTTGTATTAAAGATCCAAAAGGTAATTCTAGCACTTGGAAAGTATATGGGAACAACTTGTCATGCCTGCACTGGTGGAACAAATGTTCAAAATGAAATGCAAAAATTACAGGCTGAAGCACCACATATTGTTGTTGGTACACCAGGGAGAGTGCTTGACATGTTAAATAGAAGATATCTTTCTTCAAAATGGGTCAAAATGTTTGTTTTGGATGAAGCAGATGAAATGTTGAGCCAAGGGTTTAAGGACCAAATCTATGAGATTTTCCAAAAATTGAATACAAGTATTCAGGTTGTGTTGCTTTCTGCCACAATGCCAACTGAAGTGTTAGAAGTGACCAAAAAATTTATGAGAGATCCAGTTTGAATTCTGGTGAAAAAGGAAGAATTGACCCTTGAAGGAATCAGTTTTACACTAATGTTGAAAGAGAGGAATAGAAGTTGGATACACTTTATAACTTGTACAAGACACTGACCATTATGCCGGCTGTTATTTTCCTCAATATAAGGTGCAAGGTGGACTGGCTCATTGAGAAAATGAATGTCAGGGACTTTACAGTTTCTGCTTTGCGTGGCGACATGGACCAGAAGGAAAGAGATGTTATCATGAGAGAATTCTGATCAGGATCAAGCAGTGTTCTGATCACTCTGACTTGTTGGATTGTGAGTTTGATGTGCAACAAGTGTCTTTGGTTATAAACTACGGTCTACCTACCAATCGTGAAAACTATATTCACAGGAGTCAATAGTGGCAGTTGATGGCGAGATGGCACTCAGAAACAGCCTTGATGTAATTTAGGATGTGGAATCACAAGCAAAACAGCACACTATTTGAATAAAGAGTGAAATTGGTAGAGGAAGTCGATTTGGGAGGAAAGTTGTGGCTATAAACTTTGTTACTAAAGAAGACAAGATGATTCTCCATGACATTGAGACTTTCTACAGTAATACAGTGGAGGAAATGCCCATGAATGTGGCTGGCCTTATTTAATTCCTAGGATGACACAGTTGTGAATGCAGTGCTCACTGTTGCTAAATAGGCGATCACAGTGCATTGTGCTTCTTTCTTTGGGAATATTTGAATCTTGTCTCATTGCTCATAACAGATCAGAAATACAGATTTCAATAGCAAAGCAACATTAGTCATGAGCTCTTGTGAGGAAAGTCACTGGCTTTATCCTCTTTAGAGTTAGACTGTTGGGGTAGGTGTAAAAGATGGGGTCCGTAAAATCTTTTTTCCTTAGAAACTTATTTCCTAGTTATGTAGAAATGGTTGTATTAGATGTTCTCTAACACTTAATAATATACTTGTGAACTAAAAGACATAAGTGCTGTATAAAATCAGCTGATTATGTTAAAAAAAATTCCTACAAATATCTACCTAAACATAATCCTCTAAATAAACCTGTTTTTTCCACAGACACTAGCTCAAAATAATTTTTTAATAAAATACTTCTTATTTAATTTAAACTTTGTTAAATTAGCAATGTAGAGACAACACTGTTTCCATTAATTTCTCACCACAAACTTGTAAACTTTCATTCACATTATGAATTTAAAATAGACTTCTGTTCCATGCTCATAGATTGGAAGAATCAACATTGTTTAGATGTCCATCCTACCCAAGGCAGTCTACACATTTAATGCAATACCCATTAAATTACCAGCAGCATTCTTCTCAGACCTGGAAACAACAATACAGAAAATCATATGGAAACATAAATGACCACAAATTGCCAAAACAATCTTCAGCAAAAAAAACAAAGCAGGATGTATAACACTTCCAGACTTTATATTAGAATGCTACAATAGTAAAAAACAGCCTGGTACTGGTACAAGAACCAATGGAACTGGTTAGATCAATGGAACAGGAGAGAGATTCCAGAAGCAAATCCTCAATTTCTTAACCAACTCATCTTCAACAAAGCCTCCACCACCGACTGGGGAGAGGAGAACCTATTCAGTAAATGGTGCTGGGAAAACTGACTGACCACATGCAGAAAATTAAAACAAGATCCCTACCTAACACCATACACAAAGATCAACTCTAAATGGATCAAAGACCTACATGTAAAACCTCAAACTATAAGAACCTTAGAAAATGAAGGAGATACCCTTAAGGAAATTGTAACTAGCAACCAATTCCTGATGAAAACCCCAAGTGCCCATGCCATGAGATAAGATACACAACTGGGACCTCATCAAACTGACAAGCTTCTGCAAAGCCAAAGAAACTATCAAGAGAGCAGGGAGGCAGCCCATAGACTGGGAAAAAAATATCTGCCAACTGTACGTCTGACAAAGGGCTAACAGCTAGGATCTATAAGGAACTCAACTTGCTGAAAAGAAAAAAAACAAACAGCCCCATTACAAAGTGGGCAAAAGATATGAATAGATAGTTCTCAAAAGAAGACATACGAGCAGCCAACAGATACATGAAAAAATGCTTGGTCTCACTAGTCATCAAAGAAATGAAAATTAAAAATACATTGAGATACCACCTAACTCCAGTCAGGATGGCCATCATCAATAACTCAAAAAACAACAGATGCTGGAGAGGATGCGGCGAAAAGGGAACACTTCTACACTGTTGATGGAAGTGTAAACTAGTACAGCCTCTGTAGAAAACAATGTGGTGATTCCTAAAAATCTAAAAATCAACCTCTCATATAACTCCACGATCCCCCTGCTGGGAATATACCTAGAAGAACTCAAATCACTTGATAAAAAAGATACCTGCAAACATATGTTTATTGCAACACTGTTCACAGTAGCAAGAACATGAAACCATGCTGCCCATCAAAAGAGAACTGGATTTTAAAAATGTGGTACATATACATGATGGAATACTATGCAGCCATAAAGAACAAAATCATAAACTTCACAACAACCTGAATGGACTTAGAATCTATAATACTCAGTGATCTTTCACAGAAACAAAGAACTGAGTATCACATGTTCTCACTCATAAGTGGACCTTGAACAATTATCATAATACTATAAGAAAAGGATTGATAGTAGTGGGAAACGGCCAGGAGGGGGGTGGGGAAGAAGAATGGCAGTAGTGGGAATCTGCCTGGGGAAGGGGGGGCACACCTCATTAACAAGGGTACCTGCATAATGAACATTTGTATACCTAACCCTGAATTGTACCTCACATCTTTAAAATAAAATAAAAAATACAATAAAATAGACTTCTGTAGAATTTTCTGGAACTATAATCATCACTTATGTTATTGTTTTCTCAGTAGATTAGATTCAAATTTCAATTACCATATAAAAATTAGCTTTTTTATTTTAAAGATGTGAGGTACAATTCAGGATCAGGTACATAAGTGGTCATCATACGGGTAAAGTTTGGGCCTGCCATTAATCCTCACTTTGTCTGGTTTGGGATCAGGTACTCTTATTGATGTCATGTGCCACACCCCTTCCCTTGGCAGTGTCCCACTACAGTCAATCTGTCTTGTAGAACTATGATAAATATTTAGGATCCACTTCTGAGAACACATGGTACTCAGTTCCTTGTTTCTGATAGATAACTGAGTATGATAGACTCAAAATACATCCAAATTGCTGCAAAGTCTATAATTTTGTCCTTCTTTAAGGCTGCATAATAGTCTATCATGTATATAAACCACATTTTTTAATCCAGTCCAGTTTTGAAGGGCAGCACTGTTGGCTCCATGTTTTGGCCATTGTGAATATTACTGCAATAAACATGCATGCACAGGTATCTTTTTTGTAAAATGATTTGAGTTCCTCCAGGTATTTTCCCAGAAGGAGGATTGCTGGGTCAAATGGAAGGTCAATTCTCAGATTTTAGAAATCACCCACTGTTTTCCACAGAGGTTGCAATAATTTACACTCCCATCAACAGTGTAGAAGCATTCCTTTTTCTCTGTATACTCACCAGCATCTGCTTTTTGAGGTATTAATGATGGCTATACAGGGAGTTAGGAGGTATCTCAGTGTTGTTTCGATTTGCATTTCTTAAATGATTAGTGAGGCAGAGCATTTTTTTCTACCTGTTGGCTGTTCGTATGTCTTTTCAGAAGTGTCTATTCATATCTTTTACCCACTTTTTTAATAAGACTGTATTTTTTTTTTCCTTTCAGCACATTCTTTGTCAGATATACAATTGGAAAGTATTTTTGTCCATTCTGTGAGCTGTGTCCCCACTCCCTTGATTTTTTTTTTGATTTTTGCTTTGTTTGGTTTGGGGGTTTTTGTTTTGTTTTGTTTTGCTTTTCATAAGCTATTCAGTTTGATAAGGTCCCACTTGTCTATCTTATCTCTTATGGCATGAGTTTCTGGGGTTTTGGTCAGGAATTGGTTGTCTGAATCAATTAGTTGTCAGAAATTCCAATTTCTGAAGGGCGACTCCTGCATTTTCTAAGATTCTTATAGTTTGAGGTTTTACATTTAGGTCTTCGATCTATTTAGAGTTGGTTTTTGTGTACGGTGATAGGTAGGGGTTCTGTTTCATTCTAATGCATGTCATCAGTCAATTTTTGCAGAACCATTTACTGAATAGATTCTCCTCTCCACAGTGGTTGTTGGTGGAAGCTTTAAAGTTAAGCTGGTTAAGAAATTGAGGTTTTGTTTCCAGAATCTCCATCCTCTTCCCCTGGTCTATATTCCTATTCTTATACCAATATCAGGCTGTTTTGATTATTGTAGCCTTATAATAAAAAAGTTTAAAGTCTGGAAGTGTGATACCATCTGTTTTGCTTCTTTTGTTGAGGGTTGTTTTGGCTATTTGTGGTCTTTTATGCTTCCATATGCACTTCTGTATTGTCATTTCCAGGTCTGAGAACAATGATGTTAGTAATTTTCGTGAGTATTGCATTGAATCTGTAGATTGCCTTGGGTAGGATAGACATCTTAACAATGTTGATTCTTCCAATCCATGAGCACGAATTATTTTTCCATTTGCTTGTGTCTGATTTATTTGAGCAATGTTTTGTAGTTTTCATTGCAAAGGTATTTCAATTCTCTGGTTAGGAAGATGCCAAGGTATTTCACTTTTTGTGTGTGATTCTTGTGAATGGGATTGTGCTTTTTATTTTGTTCTCTATCTGCTGTTGGTGTATAAAAAAGTGACTCTCTTTTACACATTGATTTTGTACCCTGAGACTTTACCAAAGTCCTTTACTAGGGCAAAGAAGTTTTTGACAAATTATCTTAGGTTTATAAGGTATAGGATCATATTGTTGGCAAAGAAGGCTAACTTCCTATTTTGATACCCCTGATTTCCTTCTCTTGTCTGATTGCTCTAGCTAGGACTTCCAACACTCTGAAAACAGGAGGGGTGAGAGTGGGCACTCTTGATTTGTTCCGATTTCCTTTCATTTAGCAATATGTTAGCTATGAGTTTACTGTAAATGGCTCTTACTATTTGGAGGTATGTTCCATCTATGCCAATGTATTCAAGGGTTTTTACCAAGAAGGGATGGATTTTGTCAAAAGCTTTTTTCTGAGTCTAACAATTTAATCATTTGCTTCTTGTTTTTACATCTGAATTACATTTATGGTCTTGCAGATGTTGAACCAGACATGCATCCCCAGAAAGGCAACATGGTGATGATGGATGGTTATTCAGATGTGCTGTTGGGTCTGATTTGCTAGAATCTTGTTGAGAATTTTTGTATCAATGTTTCTCAGGGACTGTAGTTCTCTTTCTTTGTTGGGTCTTTACCAGGTTTGGGTATCAGTGTGATGTTAGCTTCATAAAATGGTTTGGGGAGAGTTCCATCTTGATTGCCTGGAATACTTTCAATAAGATTGGTATCAGTTTCTTCTTGTATGTTTTACAGAATTAAGCTGGAAAGTCTTCTGGTCCAGGGCTTTTTTTTTTTTTTTGGTAGGTAGTATTTTCATGATGGAGTTAATTTCCTGGATTGTTACTGTGCTATCTAGGGTCTCAGTTTCTTCCTGTTACACACTTGGGAGATTGTGTGAAGTAAGAAATTCATCCGTTTCATTGAA